CCACGAGATCCGTCATTTCGTACTTCAAGACGAAACCCCTGGTCAAACAAACCGATGACCACTTGTTTGAGGGCTCGTACTTGCATGCTGTAGAAGCAGTGTAATATCTTATTGGTGTCTTTGGATGATATCGGGCTTTTGTTCAGTGATGGATRTTGATAAAYATGGAATAGAAAGATGTTGACGTCAGTCAAAACCAGACAAACCGGTAATTCGTGTTCTGGGAACAGGTAYGGAAGACAGCCTACCCATAAGACCATTCGAACTTTCTCTTCGTCTACTTTCGACCTRAAATCAGTAAAAATCAAATTAAACGCMATGGKYTAMGAYACAATTTACAAGATATCAAAGACCAGCCTTACCGATCATGGTTCAAAGTTCCATTGTCAATAAAGTCTGCGTGTAATGAAATRTAAGTGCTGTGAATCCCAGAGTTGCGCACGCGATCCTTGCCGTCATGGTAACTGTGTTCARCGGTATKGCTTGGTTCTTTRGTTGCTCGTAGAAACTCCTTAAAGAATTTCTCCAACGCGTCGTCTGACAGGCCAAGGGTATTGGWCCACGGTGACTTCGACTGTGATGTACTTTGATTTGAAGGTTGCTTTTGACAGGAAGGCCTTGTGAGTAAAACAAAATCATTATTAACAGGATACCTTTTCTATATCTTATAATCACTGTTCTCATGACAAAGGRCATGCCTTCTCACCTTTCCCAACTCTTTGTGATAAACTTRTACAACAGTACAAAAAGCTCAGCAGCATCTCCAATTGAGCGCATGCGATATCTTGCTACCTGACGGTAGTCCTGCTGTCCTGCGGTGTTGGTCTTATGACGTCTCCATTCCTTTGAGTAAGTGTCCCGTATGTCAATATGGAAGGAYCCTTCGATGTCCAAAATATCAACACTACTGACGTCATCTGGAAATGACAAAAAGTTCAGGGTACTGTGATCAAGTGTTCTATCAATCGAACCTTTCACAACTTTTAATCTGATCAAGTGTTCTCCTATCACCGCTTCTAACAAGAGACTCACCAAGCCTGTGCTTAGCACTAGTTTTCCCAGTAGCAATTTGTATTTCTAGAATAACGCCTTTGCTCAGATCAACACCGACCATTCTCTCTTCAAAAGTAGGTACGCAGTCACTGTCTTGGTTTAACATCTCGTCTTCTTTTCGCATCTCAACCTCCACCATGTAAGTTCCAGATGTACTAAAAAACGAAAACGAGAATTATGAAGTTAAAACGATGATCACGTGGTTCAAAGGTACCAAAAAATTGTCCTAGAGGATACAGGATACCAATATAAACAAACACATGTGGAACGGGGCATATACTCCCATGCACACTCCCCCTGGATCCACGTTCTAGTTTTGGCTGTTGATATAGTCCAGCAGATTGGTGAAAAATTGTGGCTTTTAGGGTAAAAGCACCAAATTTGRCAAAAATATAGSTGACTATATACTAATCGATTTTAGCTATAKTGCCAAGGCCAGTTTGCCGTTTGATGGTGGCAACGCMCTTTCAAATTTCGTRGGCATRGCACTTAACGTATATCWCTAAAATCTCACATTTTATTTGCGATATTGTTTATGATTATTACTACGATTTACGATATACGCACTTTGTAGTATCAGCGTCCAGTTTGCTTCGAACCAACTCCTCCAGCTCACAAGTAAAACCAAAGTGTAGTCTCGACCCAGTTTCCCCTGGCTCAACTCCTGCTACCTTAAAACATGACAAAAATAATAATATTAGTCGTCGGAGAGCAGAATTAGAAGGAGGTAGAAGAAAGAAGGGAAAATGAAAGCCGAAACATAGGAAATGAAGGGAGGATTGGAGAAAAGGAAGAAGCTGAAGAAGAAGAAAGAATGAACAAAAATGAATTTAGGTCGGAAGGAAGGAAGGAAGGGAGGAGAAAAAGCGGGAAAAAGAAGTACGAAAGGGATTGTGCATAAGGAAAAGTGATACCACTAACTTACTTTTGCGACAAACGTCTTATTCGGTTCACATGATGGACTTTCCAATCGATCTGTATAACTTCCTTCTCTGTTTGGCTGTGCAGAAGTTTACGAAGTGCGTTTAGCAAAGTTTATATAAAGTGTACAAAAGCAAAAAAGACTTCTTAAAGTACCTGAGCATCTGTCGTATGTTCTTTTTTTATTTCACCCAACATGGTTAACCACTTATCCCCGCCAAGTTGACGAATCTTCTCGACACGTGACCGGTATTCCAAGTCACTCTCGTCCACRTTACCTGTGGAGTCTTCTAGGGAAAGTTTGCAACAATAAATAAAATATCACTTTTCACTTCTCAATCTTTCTAATAGGGCAATGAGAGTTGGTCGCGACTTATAATCTCTGTACACTATCTAAGATTGTCTGTTTTTTACGCAACACTTTGTACAGTTATTGTTCGCAGCGACGGGTTCCTAAAGTCACGATGCTACTAACGTGAAAGATATCTTCATATGCTTCCGCAATATTTGGTATTCTTAAATTGAGAACCTGCGGACATTGTGAACACACTATAGTTCCCTTTGCAACCCTCCCTTTCGTTAAACTTCCTGGTCACCCTTACTCTCCATGTAAGTTACACAAGCTAGTACCTGGTAGGCTGGTGCTTTGTTTTTTGTTGGTCGTTTCTTCAAGCGAAATCACTCGGTCAATACTCTTCATCTGAAAATGCAAACACATTCGATATGAAACCATGACCTATCACCACTACCACTACCACCACAACAACAACTACAACCATAACAAAAACCAATGTACCTTCCTGTGGCCTGATTTTGTCTTCGTGGTTGTATTTACGGCTGTTTCTGGGAAGTCAATGATCTCAAAACTTTGCTCCTCGTCGATAATTTGTTGRACTTTCTTCATTTCGCGAGATGATGGTCTTTGTTCATCAAGAAGGATCTGTTTTTTTAACAACATGGGTAACTCAGTAACTTTGCTAGTCTTGAATACACCAAGTTTCCATCGAAATGTCTACGCACTGTCAACATTTTGTTTTATTTCGTTTTCTTTTTTTTTTCTTTTTTGGAGTTTGAAATATTACTACAAGCGGAAGTTACCTGACTTGCGCGGTCATCAAACATCGATAAAACACGCACACGATACATGTTTTCTTTGGTCAGTGGATTTCCAACAAGGAGAAGAATTTCTAAACATGGGAGCTGTCCCAGTAGTAACACAGACCCCACCTGAAAAATACAATGAAAATTTATTACAATGTAATATCATTATATGTAAATAAAATTTATTTGTGACAGTTTTCGACTGTTTCCTTTACTCTTTTCATTCAGTTATCCATTACCACTTGCACAAGTGAATGTAATACAAACCTCAGACAGTTGATTGTCACACAGGTTTATTTCCGCTAATGAGAACAGTTTTTCCAGACCTAGAAAATTAGCAGTCATAAAAACATTATCACGTTAAACAGTACCACTATAACATGACAAATATAACCATTGCAAAGAGAGCCAGGCGCGTAGCGTCCTTTACGCATATACGCACGTGGGTATATACTAGTGGCAAGAAAATTTTAAAACAATTTTCGGGATTTTTTACTTTGCTTCCTTTCTCCAACCAAAGGTTCATTATCAAATAGAACCTCAAAACGCTGGAAATCGCATTTACAAGAATTATTATTTCAAAATTTCCTGGGGAGGACCCTCAAACCCCACTTAATACTCCTGCCTTTGTTGGTCGCTAGCCCCCCAATCCATAATATGTGTCACCCTCCATGACATGTGCGTACTAGACAAAAAGTCCAGGCTACGCGCCTGAAAGCTTACCATCAATGTTTGTTAGCTGGTTTGATGATAGATTAATCTTCTTAATGTTCCCTAATTTGGTATTAAGATTTTCTCCTAGGCTTTGAATCAGGTTATATGACAGATCAAGACTTTGAAGTTCTGAAAGGCCCTGTCATAAGAGATAGAAATTTTTGCTATAAACAGTTCTACACGTGTATTAATTAAAATGTGCTTTAAAAGCTTATAGAGAATGACATCTGATTGCATATGACTGCGCAATGACACAGAAACTCATTTGATATCAACACCATAGATAATATGGAATTGCAAAAAAATTCTGACTACTTATGGCACAAATTCAAAGTTGCATACGTTTTTGCACATTCACACAAAATCCAACTGTCTTTTCCCTTTTACCTGAAGATTCTCAATGTTTTCAATGCAGTTGTGGCTTAGATTCAACTCCTTTACTTCTGGAAGTAAGCCCTACCATAACAATATATGAAAAATAAAGATAAACTCACAYTCCGCATTTAAAAATCATTTCCAAAAAAATGCAAGCCATATTTGCTGTTCTTTCCGAAGTACACTAATCCAGACATAATGATGACCTTACCACAGACTCATCAATGTAGGGCAAGTGRTTATTGCTAAAGTCAGCAAACTTCAATTTCAGCCAGCTATGGTAGTCTGTGTTTGAACTGAGAGATGATGATCCATCGACAGACACACTTTCAAGGATTCCTTGCTCCCAGATCTCCTCGTCTACTAGAATATCCTGGTAAAAAAATAACACTTCATTTTCTCTTACAATTTTATTCATATCATAGGTGGAGCATTCAAATTGAATGGTGCAAGGAGTGGCGGGCCATCCCTCTCTCCACACCTCAAGACCTTAACCCCCTTAAAATGTCCTACTATTTGTCTCCTTTGAAATTGTTTTTGTGGAGTACATCCCATGACCATTAGAGAACTGCAAATCACACTGTAAATCTCCATTACAGCCTGGGCTCTTCCTCTGGCTGCACAGGAGACCATTCTAGCTCTTTCCTGATCTTATCTTGAGACCTTTTAAAAACCCCTTAATATTCCCTCCTATTTTGTTCCCTCCACAATTGTTTTGCTGTTCACAAGAGATGCAAGTGTCTTTACCCTGTTAGCCTCCATGACAGCCTGAGCTCTTGCTTTGGCTGCACAGGAGACCATTCTAGCTCTTTTCTGATCTTCCCTCCTATTTTGTTCCCTCCACAATTGTTTTGCTGTTCACAAGAGATGCAAGTGTCTTTACCCTGTTAGCCTCCATGACAGCCTGAGCTCTTGCTTTGGCTGCGTAGGAGACCATTTCATCTCATTCTCATCTTACCTTTAGAAGATGAATAGAGTTGCATACTCTTAGAGACTTAATCTGTTGTTGCATTCTGTAAATACCCAGGAAAGGTTCCACATCACAACCTAATATCTACGGATGACAGAAAACAAGCTCAGGATACCATGAATGTTGCAATGAAGAATGTTAAAAGGGACGTACCTCTAATGTCTCTAGGGATTTAAATAGTGCCAAATCACACCTGAATYTGACATTTTCGCTCAGCTCAACTTGTGTTGTTTCTGAWGAGATCTGTGATATATCCCAACKATTAGTATTATCTAATGTTTATCTRRCATCATGYTATAAACTGACGTACACACCTTTAAGTGCCTCAACTGTTGGATAAAATCATATAAATTTCCAATTTCTCCATGAGATATTTGAGAATCTGATAAAAAATCAAGAAAGATTAGGGCTTGGAGAATCCTAGCATGTTGATTTGGAATGAACCATTGACTTTCAGGGTTGAAAAGACTGATATAGAATAGAGTTATTATTAATAAAAATACATGTATTTCACTGTTATTCAACTYACCACAAGTAGGTACAGGGAGCTCCAGTCTCTTGGTGATGCAATACAACTGTAATGGTGTGAGAATGAATGGCTCTTCTTTTTTCAGTATCTCCTCACCTATAGATATAGAACATAAAATAATGTAGGTCACAGGAAACATAGGTCTTAGGAAATTACAGGCCTTGAAAGAGAGAACAGATCAGACCAGAAATCATTGCATGCTCAACGGTTGTCTCACTTAGATGTAAAGGCACGGCTAACTTTAAAGATAGCACAGGGAACTGTAAGCGGCAAGCAGAGGTGTAAAGAAAGTTCAAAGAAAAATAGTCTTACAGTTCCCTGTGCTATCTTTAAAGTTAGCCGTGCCTTTACACCTAAGTGAGACAACCACTGAGCATGCAATGATTTCTTTCACCTAAGGACAATTATTCACAGATGCTATCATTGCACGCTCAACGGTCATCTTTCTTCGATGTAAAGGCATGGCCACATTTCAAGATGGTGCAGGGAACCATGAAGAAGACAATTATTGCAGTTACATCAAAAATACCTTTTATAAAGAGCTCTTGCGCCAAGGAGAAGGTCACCCCACAAATATCCTGTAATATAAAATATATCAAAGACTTAGTTGTTTGCTTAATTTATTTCTTAAAATGGTAAAAATGGATGTCTTACATATTTGTTTCCTTCAAGAAAACAGKTCAGTTCTTCAGGTAGGTTGTCATCAAATGTTTCTGCCAAAAGTTGTAAGTATTCCTCTAATGCYACACGTCTGTTTTCTACATATTCAGGGTCAAGATTACCAAAGTACTTTTTAGGYGGTAACAAAGATTGTTTWACACTGTGTTTCTTTACAAGCTGCAATTGGAACAGGRAAAATATGAATGTGAAATGGGATTTGAAAATTAAATACTGAAATTGAAATGGTCAGAGTTCAGGTTAATAATCCTTTTTTCTTGTATGTTTCACAGTAAGTCATGTTTCTGAACAAACTAAAATGAAATAAAGAGAAATGAAAAGAAAATACAATGAAAATGACCATTATTTTTTGTATCAAGTGAGCTACATGAACAAGAGATTGGTTGTGTTACATATTTAGTAATTGTAATACAAGAATACCCATGAAAGGAGTTGGAAAGATGCAAATGAAATCAACAGTCCAAACATGGTAAAATGACACAAGTGATGAGAACAAAGAATCTCTCTGGTGATAATCCAACATTGTTGTGTAACAATGTAATCTATGGAGACAATGGATGATAAGACACAGCTTCTCAGACAAATTGCCAAAGGGACAAGAGCCAGTATTATAAACAATAACATAATAATATCGCTGATACCACAAAATTTTATAAACATATCATATACACATATATTTAATATATAAATGTCTATAGAAGGGAAATAGATACATGCAGGTTACCAATAATCACCACACATTAGACGTGTATTGTATCTGCTATGCATACTTAGCAATATTTTTGCAGTTACATGTATCTAATATGGCATACTGCCCAAATCAGCCCAGTATCTGACAACGGTGTTTTTTCCAGTTGACCTGCTACACTGTCTTAATATTGCTCTTAATCATCAATAAAACTATCTACTTTCATTGTAATTGCTTAATTGCACAAACGATCAGATGTGCATGAACATGTTAATCCATTAAAAGTTAACATTTCAACATGTTAATCCATTATTTTACCAACCTTTTCATGGAGCTCATAAAATTCCTTGTATCTTCTAGAGACAAGCCATGAGTACTCTCTTATGAACACCTCTATTAAGTAAACCTATAAAAAAAAATCAATAAAAATGAAATTAAATCAATAACCTCTGATAGCAATCAGAGTTTAACAGTTTCCTCTTTCAGGATAGTTAGGAAATTACGTGTCTAATATAAAACGTGTGAAAAAGCTGAAAGAAAGTGTGAAAATATGCAATATACATGCAAGTTAGAAAATGTGCATTMATAGTTATTTAAATCTATAAAGAAATATCAATTATATTTAAAAGTTTGGTATCCAGATTTTAGAGATTAACCACCGACAGAAAAAGTCAACGTCTTCTCCGATCATGTCAAAACGAAAATGTAGCAATTTATACTGTAATATAAAACCCATTTTCAAGCAATTTACTAACTGAAACCAAAATAAAAAAAACTCTAAAGTAATATGAAAAGAAAACAGAAATGTCTCTAAGGTTGCAATACTACAACAATGAAAGCAAATTGCCAAATAATCACAGCGCCAAGTATAGTATTTCAACGCAGCAACATTGTAGTTTTGTAATTTGTTTAGAAGAGCTAGACGAAATTATCAAATGTAAATAGTCTTACCGTATGACCGTCGACAAAATCTGCAGCTGGGATGACTATCTTGCGAACTTTCATGTTATTTGGGGTTTCTTTAGCATTTTGTGCGTAGTTTCAAAGAGTTTTTGTCGTTCGTAAAAGTTGCTTCCCTCACGCTCTGTGGCATATATTCTCATCTAAACAACTTTGTAACCAGGCCTTACAATGAGTCACGCTATCAAATATGTTAGTCATACGTCACGCAGAAATGCTGAAAAGATATCAGACAGTTTTCCTAACTTTTTAAAATGAAACCCARCCGATGCAATAATTCATATTTTTGTATTTATTTATTTTCTATATTAAGTTTGTGGAGGCACTCTTAGTCGTGCTTCTACCCTTCGGGATCTGTTCGGCATGGAGTATAAAACTCGACATAGCTCTAGGGGTCACTGAAGCACGCAAACTGCCCCACCGCGGTAAGGTGGTGATCTCTTCGGGGCAGGAACGCCTTCCCTTCAAAAACATCCCAGCGGGAATTTKGCCATTTAGTATGGCGGATCTAGTACAGTAGTTACGATGTAAAATGATGAAAAACAATTTACGTATTTTGTGGTATAAATATGATGCGTCACTATGAATGCATGTTTATATCATTTATTTTCGTTCAGAATGATTGTATCTTTATTTCATTTTAATCAAATTATTACCGGTTTAACATGCTACGACTGCCATTGAAGCCAGGCAAAGAAGTAGCAAGCAACTTAAACGGTTAAGGATGAATCATAACAAAAATTCTCCAAGAAAATATTTTAAAATGAGAGATACTGTGGGAAATCGTCATTAACTAGGCTTGCTGGAACCAGYGTGTCATTGCATAATTACAGTTACTATAGTACATATTTACAAATGGAAAAGTTACGATTTCTATCAAATCTAACATCTATACAAGATGATTTTCCACGTACACAGTTTTTAAATGCCTCTGACATCCAACGTACTAGTATTTAACAAAGACTGTACTCGATCAGTATGTACATATGTGTGTTACCATACAAAAATAATAATCCTATGTAAGTTATAATTGCTATCGCTTTTCGTCTTGTTGATCGATGACATCTTCCTCTACTGGTTTCTTGTCCTCTGGAATGTCAGAAATGTCTTCATCTGATATTTCAAGCTTTTCTGCAAGGTAAGAAATCATTACATAGCTGTTTTTATCGTTGTTTGGTGGTRTAAGTTGGTTTAGTAGTCTTGCGCATGATTTAAAGGATTGATTGGCTATGAAGTTGGTTTAGTGTTTTAAGGGTTTGTATCTTGTTTTGCTGTTGGTTCAGTTCTGTGATCTATATGGTTGTTTGTTTAAGTGGTTGGTGAGTAGATGCGTAGGTGAGTTGTGGGTTGGTTTGTTTGGGTGTGTTCGGTTAGAGAGTTTGCTTTCAGACGTTTTGTATGATGGTATAATTTGTTTACTAGTAGAGTTTTTCGTTGGTYGKTRAGAGWTTCAGTGATGATTAGCACACTATACCTCTATGAGTATTTGACAAGCCTTTTCCAATAATAAGAACGGCAAGGAGTGACCCTAAAGCCGCCACACAAAGTATACAACCTTCTGCAAGGAAGCTAATAGGTCCAATGTAGTCAAAAACTTTACCAACGATCAACGGAATCACCATTTCACCAATAGCTGCACTCACAACAAACATACATGTGATGGAACCTGGAATACATCGAATACCATGCTTTAGTGAGGAAACTAGTTGATACGGCCATATAGGATGACGTCATTCTCTTAMTGGTCACTTTGAATGACGTCATAACATAGTCACCGTTGTATGACGTCATAATGTTCACGACAACTATGTTATTCTTGAATTGATGACGAGATAACCCTGACTTTTACCTGTAACTTCAAAGTACTGCTCAACGAGCGCAACGCTCGATGGGAAGACGTTRCTCATAAATAACCCAAAAGTACTGGTACCGATCCACAAGACAACAGCACTGTCTTTGAATATTAACATCAGGAAACTAGCAGCTATGGTTCCCGCCTAAACACGACRTTATGATACATTAATGTTACAAGACATGGCCGCCTTCGTTTAGGGTCGTTTCACACTGTGACATAAGCAGAAGCAGAAGATGTGTATTTTGTATGTGTGAACCGGGGAAACAGAAGCAGAGACAGAAGCAGATGAAAATGAAAACTTTTCCTTTTCTTCTGCTTATGTTTCTGCTTATGTTGAAAGATTATAAGTGTGAACCGGGATATCATAAGCAGAACAACATGCTTCCTTGTCAAGTGTGAACAAGCTTCTGCTTCGGTTTCTGCTTATGTCACAGTTTGAACCGGCCCTTAACATATGAGAATTGCTTTCATAAAAACGACTGGACTTAAGAGCAACTGTAACTTACCAAGTCGCCAAACAGCATGGCTGCTGGAGATATAAACATRGCGATAGGTATAGAGATCAATCGACCAAGAGCTAATGACCCCTGGAACATAAATATGCGTGTACTGGTGACATACATGTTATCATTCTCTTAGTTTTATCGTACTTTACAACAAGTAATCATCCTGATTATGAACTAATATTACATAACTATATTACTTCTSCTGCAACGTTCTTCTACATCTATCCGTCTTTACATCGCACTCAWTATTGTAATTTATCATATAATTATTACGCTCACTCGTGAGAGATCTTTTYAATACTCGAAGATAAAATCCGTATCTCCGCGCACCCATKTAATATCMTCTATTTATTGTCAAATATTTCGCTATCAAGGTGCATTTCGTAGAGGCTTGATAACGACGACCAACYTACTTACCCAAAATATAGACGTGAGAAAAGCACCTTGAGCTGGCTTCATTTTCAGCGAACTCTTTACAGCGTAAGTATAAATATAGCCACCATATGTCCCCTACGACATATCAAATCCATTTATCCATATATCATATCGCCATAGCAAAGAGTAACAAAGAATCAAATCAAATTCGTAGGGGCGTRAGGAGGGGTTTCATGATGGGKGACGGAATTTTTCAGCTGGGGCCGTTTCCAAACTGTTGGAATATCTGGAAATTTGTTACCCCCCTTGATTTAACAATAAAGTTTCACATTTCAAATACTTTATCTGAAAAGGAGTGGTTTCGGGATTCCTGTGCACACCCCGTACTTTACTAGGAACAAATAATACTTTACCTGCATCCCGTCGTATAAGAATACTAACAAACACGTCCATAACGATATACCAAATATTTTACATCTATTAGGACTATTAAACAAGCTCACAGAATGCTCGGCTTCCTTAGGCTCCGTCACTTCCACTTCTGAAAGCACAACGATTTAAAGATGAGATTTTTTCATTAGRCATAAACACGAGCAATAAAGTAGATGTGTGGTGTATACCTTTATCAGTTGGTTGATCTGTTGTTTTAGTCTGTTGACTTTTTTTCTGGTGAGTTTCAAACATGTCCAGCATGACCAGATACGCCAAACCAATTACAACAGGAACCTGGACGGAAGAATGGTTAATGATATACAGKGAGCCATCTAATTRCCASAATTGTAGACTTAAGAAATACTAATTGTAGTCCTTCGATTAAGAGATTAAACCCCAGAAACACTTACGTGTGCAATGGCAATAATCCAGTAAGCAAACTGTACTTCACTACTATAAGCTTGATCATCCATTGATATACCATCAGTTAAGTTCGGATGTGTAGAGTGATGATGGCGATGTTTGCCKCCRCCATAAGGCATCGGTTTCTCACGACGCTTTGTAACRATCTCMGGRTGRGGTTGTCCACTGAGAAAAGGCTCTGCGATCAGTGGGCTCACAAAGGCGCCAAAGCCGTAAGAAAAATAAAGAGCCTTGAAAGAGAAATGCACACATAGATGAATGAGAGAACGATGGAAAGATGAATTTCAAAAGGAGTTTACCTGCAAATACGGAGATACCTGGAAAAACAACAAACACCATGTTAATTRGTACCTTCATTKCCTGGTTAAATTATTTACTTTGTTCATAAACTTACTTTCTTGCCATGTAAAGCCAATAATTGCACGTTGGTTGCTGTRTCCAATACTCCTACACAATATCCCGCAGCTGCGGTCGTTAATATCAATAACCAAAGCTCCCTACACATTGGTATAACAGCCAGGAAGACAGCATTGAGCGTCAAACATACTAACAACATCAGATTTCGATTGCATTCAAACCTAAAGAGAAGAAACAAAACGAGAATTGTACATATAATGACTCAGTAATAGTATACAGCAGTATCAAAATTATTATCATTTGGACTCATATTCCAAGTATACACCTACTTGCAGAAACGTTGTCATAGAAAATAGAACATTCGAATTTAGTAAAAAGGAATTAATTAAAACAAGACAAAAGAAAGCGTTCAGCCTCAGTGACCTTCTTTTGTCTTTATAATTTATTCCTTTTTACTAAAATACAAATGTCCTATTTTTTATGACAACGTTTTCGCAATTAGGTGTATATAAAAAATATCAAAAATTGTGGGATATCATCGCCCATATTTTTTTGGAAGTTGCCCGGCACCAGTACTTTCTGAAAAACAATATTGGCGATGATATCCCATAATTTTTAATATATTTAATATATATTTGATATATGAGTCAAAATGATGATAATTTCTGCTGTATACACCTGATAAGCAATACCATACTCATAACATCACGATCATTATCACCGAATTTTTAGTTTCCTTCCTTAATGTTAATGAAGTTATGAGATTATGAAATTATGCCCAAATATGCCCATTTTGTTCATTTTCTKTCCCTGTTGCTCATTTTCCATTTGYCWRGATTWYATTCTTTCCTCTCCACTTATTCCCATTTCTGTTATTGTTCATTTCCCACTTAATTACCTGTCGATTAGAAACCCTGCAAAGATTGCACCGATAAATCGAGTCGCTGACTGGACAAACAATAACCAACTTAAAGCATTAACAGCATCRTATTCTTTGAAATAACTAGCCAGAAAGTCCATGAGGGTTGGTCCCGCCATCCCRACCGACATACCAAACATAAAGAACGTAGAGAAATATAAACCATTCTGTACAACTGCATTGAACTTTGATGTGCATGATGCATGTAACTGGAAAGATTTCCTGGAATATTTTGTCCAGATTTTCCACAATGCCAGGTAAACTAATTGACGAATCATAGCTCGATCTTTTTAAACAGCCACAACTTTTCAGTCGAAAGAGATTGTAAATGGTTTCAAAAAGTAAAAATCTAAAAAGGACTTGTATTGTACAACTGTATTGGTCTTTAACACGTAGCCTATGAAACGAAAAAAGAATAAAATAACAATGTAATGAATCTCTTTATAAAGGTTTTCTGTTATCTAGTCGTAATCGTAACGTACTAAGAGTCGAACGAAATAATTTCAATTCTCAGTTTGCCAATGAATATTCATGTGATCGCAGGCCTWCTCATATAAAAATATTGAGTTCATGTATCACAAATGTTACTTTTTATGGAATTGTAAAAACAAGTGTCACCGAGCCTTGAGTTAACTTATGTCTGGTAAAACAATGATACAGCTTTCGATGATATATCGTTGAGGAAAACGCTGTGTGCTTTTTTCCAGTTAATKCTTGGTTACTTGAAGATCAGTTAAGATTCAACTCGAAAAATGGTTCCAAACTCTTGACCAATAGCTTGTGGTTAACAGTATTCCAAAGCAAACTGTCATGAATGGTTTTACTTGGCAAACACGCCAATCTTTGGACAGATATACGCTAATTAGTCCGACTGAATGACATACTAGTAAAATCTTAGCTTTCTCTTTACAAGAGAACGAAACTTGAAGTGTCTGCCATCTACCTGTGCGATGGGTCACAAGTTACAATGGGTTATGACTTTTTGAGAGATGAATAAACAAAGCAATTWATCCAACTGGTTCAAGAGARGTACCTTTTTCGTTATGCTTTTWTACTCTGACTGGCAAAGTTGTTTTTGGAAACAACCAGTCTTGAAGGTTCATTTGTTCCGATGGTTAATTATTTGTTCAGATAAATGGTGGGTTAAACCCGCTCTTCTTGCCTAACTGGAAAATCGTATCATTTAAAAAATCTCACATTGAATTTTGGTTTGAAGGTAGGTGAGGGGATTTCTTCGAATGACTTCCATAAAAGAGATGAATCTAAAGGCTTATTATCGGATGACCAATCAATGGATAAAATATCATATTACTTACATTGCCGTCATAATATTCAGTGCAATATTAATGATTGACATACT